AATCCAGCTGTTCTCCCTGTAGATGTCTTCACACAATAGTTAAAGTCATCATATTACAGCAGTCCATGCATACCCACATTTATAGCAGCACAATTCGTAGCAGCTAAATCTTGGAAGCAGCATATATGTCCCTCAGTAGATGAGTAGATAAAGGAATGTGTACCACTCCGCTATAAGCAAGGGTGCACTTGAGTCATTTGTAGGAAAGTGAATGCCCCTTGAGATCATTATGTTAAGTGAAATAAATGAGACACACAAGGTTACATATCGCATGATTTCTCTTATATAAGAAACCCAAAATGTAAATAAAGAGCAAAATAAAAGACAGATGATATGAATAAGGAGATAGGGGAAGGGGATCAAGTGATGGGGTGGGGTGGGAGTGAAAGAGAACTGAGATGTGTCATACGCATGTACTGAGTTCCCACAAGCCATGTAATTCTGTGTTGCTAAACATATTTAACACACTGTGTAAATATACTAAAAAAAAATTGAAAAGAGCTGGGCCTGTAGCTCAGCGGTAGAGTGCCCTAGGTTCAATCTGCAGCACCAGAAAAGAGAGATGGGGGGCGGGGAGAGAGAGAGTGAGAGTGAGTTTTGGCCTCTCAACTCAGTCCATCCTGCTGCAAGGCAGCTGTCTGGACTCCAGGAGCTTAGCTCCTCAAGCCCATTTCGTAGCAAGAGTTTGAGCTCAAGGAAGAAGTAAATAGTTTAGCAAGCATTTGAGGCCTTGGATGGGTTGTTTCAAGTGTTTTGCTGTATCCAGAGAACATTCCATTTTACCCATTTGGATTCAAAGGTTTTCTTTTCTTTTTTTTTCCCCAAGTAGACTTCTAAAAATTTTTTAGGAGGCTGGTCATTTTTTAGAAACCCTATCATTTTTTTTCCTTAAGGACTTGTCAAAGAAGTCAAACAATCCTTACTGGTAATCACTCCTGACTTACAAACAGTTCATTCATACATTCGTGGAAGAGATGCTGGATTCCTGTGTGCCAAACACAGTGCTGTGTCTGGGAGCGCAGAAGGGACCAGGGCAGAAGTACCTGCTGTCTGGACCTCTTTTTACTCAGACAGGTAACAGCACCAGGCTTCTGAAAACTCACAGGTGTCATAGCAGGCTGCAGCCAGGATTTTGGAGGTAGTCTGTGGCCTGATGAGGCGGGGCTAGGGGTTTTGCTTTAGGTGCAGCGATCAGAGAAAGCTGCTCTTTGTAGTCACTTCTGAGTGGAAACCTGAAGGGTGAGAAAGAGCCAGACAGAGTTAAGGGTGTGCTTCACAGCCTGGGCAGGCACTCAGTCCTGAGATGCGAAGAAGGGTGGTGTGTGCAGAAGACCAGGAGGAGCCAGTGAAGGAAGAAGGAAGGAGATGACAGAGGAGGCAGTGGGCTTAGCGGGCCCCTGGGAAGCATCTGGTAACAACATTGCTTTCCCTATTATACAGTATAAATTATACCATTTATTTGTTCATAGGACATACTTGTTGAAACTTCCAGGTGCCAAGCACTGTGCAAAATGCAAGGATAGAACAGTGAACAAGTAGCATAAAATAAGACCAAACAGCAAGAATCCCATTGTGCCCCCCCAAACGTTGAAGGGAAGTTTGTGTCGTGATAAGGAGATCCAGTGAGAACACTCAAAGCAGAACTCTGAACTTGGGCTGGACCCAACCCCTGCATAGCAGCAGATGAGAGAGGCGTTTAAGAAACAGAACAGGTTCATGAGCCAGACCAACTGCAAGCCAAGGCCCAGCTCTAGCTGTGTGACCTGGAGCCTGAAGTTCCTCCTGTGTCCTGCCTCCCAGCTGTTGCCCATGGTAGCTAAGAGCACAGCTGTGATAGGGCAAGTCCAGTGCCTGATAGAAGGGCTCAGAAGGTATTGGCTGGACAGTCGTGGCGCACTCTAGCATCTTAGGTGGGCAGGAGATATATTCTTTAATCATCTGAATCTACCAAGGCTTAGTGCTGAAGAAAAGAGTTGCAGGGGAGGGCCTTTGGTGAGTAACAAAATCTGAATGTAAGCGCTGTGTGATCTTGGAAGCCATTATGAAACACATGTATTTGAACTTGATTGTATGTGTCCCCACATTCTGCTTCCCTGTTCTCTTTTGTACTTCTCGCTACTGACCTTAAAGAAATACAATATTTTACTTCCCTTTTTGGCTATGTGTAACACATTAAAGAATATACAATAACATTTTAGCATTTCAAAAGTATGGGGAAATTTATTTCTCATTATTTCATCAACCTAAACGAATCGCTCTTAGACATGTGTGTCTCGGTTCCATCTTTTTTTGCAAATACGTCTTCTCACATTGGCGGAGAGTGTACCATGACCTTGCTTTCATCCCCCACCCCTTTTTTTCTCTTCACTGTGATGTAAGAAGCTTTTCGTGTTATGGTGTAATTTTGTTTTATTTTGTATTTTGGTGCTGGGAATGAACCCTAGGGCCTCATGTGTCCTACTGATACAGCTTGAATAAGTTGGATTTCTTATGACTGCATAAAGGTTTCACTGGTGACTTCAGCCACCATTTACTTCTCTTTCCTTTTAGTAGACATTTTAGTTGCTTCCGCTGTTACGTTGGTTTAAACTGTAAAGAACCACTTCATGAATACAGTGTTTTCTTTCTTTTGAATTATTTCTTTAGGATAGGTTCCCAGACGTGGAATTTCTGGTTCAAAGGATATGAACGCTTTTTTGTGCCTCTCTACACATTGACACGTTGCTTTCCAGTAGGTTGTGCTATGTTAAACTGCTTTAGCACTTTTTAAAGAATGACTGACTTTCATAGCCATTTCCATGCCTTGGTGGGCTTCTAACTTGAGTGACTGTTGCTTAAACTGCAGCTTGCAAATGCAGCAGGGAAGTGGGAGGATGAGGTGGCTCAGCCCTGGGGCTCAGAGCACCAGCCTGAGCTTGGGGAATTTATGTACCCACTGGAAGCCCAGCTTGAGTCCAGGTCTGCCTGACTCCAGAGCTACCCTCCTGCGCTACTCATTGGACTGAACCGTACAGACAGCTGGCCAGAGTTTGCTTCCAGAAACTGGAGACATCTCTTACATTTGAGCTTGGTCAGCTGTCCTCCAACCTTTCCAGAAGTTAATCTCTTCTTCCAGGGTCAGTCTTCCTGGTTGTCAGTGGAAGAATCTGATGGAATGTGTTCTTATTCCGTTTTAGTAATACTTTTAAATTTGCATCTTTATTTCACAAGGTAAACTAATTGAGAAAGCCCTGGGTCTCAAACCTTAAAGCCTTTGAAGGCCCTCCAGTGAGGGGCTGGAAGAACAGACTCAAGAAGCAGTTGCTGAGTGACCTGGAGCAGGCAGCCTAACATCTCCAGGTTTTGGTTTCCCTCTCAGTAGAATGGGAACCATACAGGGTCATTAAAAGGCCAGAGGGAGATGACACCACACCAACCCTCACAGTCCCTGACAAGCCACAGGCAACCTGAGGACCTTCATGCTCTGGTTTTAGCATCGTCTTCTAGACTTGGGGAGTCATGGGGCTGGTTCCATGACCACCCAGCCCTTGTAGAGGCCAATGGGAGCCCAGTGTTCACCCGTGGGGAGCACCTTGCCCTGTGAGACTGCCTCTTCTGTTCCTGGCTATAGGCTTCTTGTGTGCTCCTCCTTCTCTTGGGAGTGGGGGCAGTAATAGGTAAAAAATATTAGGATATTATTTTGTGTGTGTGAATATGTCATGGGGCTGGTTCCATGACCACCCAGCCCTTGTAGAGGCCAATGGGAGCCCAGTGTTCACCCGTGGGGAGCACCTTGCCCTGTGAGACTGCCTCTTCTGTTCCTGGCTATAGGCTTCTTGTGTGCTCCTCCTTCTCTTGGGAGTGGGGGCAGTAATAGGTAAAAAATATTAGGATATTATTTTGTGTGTGTGAATATATATATATAACTCACAACAGTCCTTTCTGCTACATCTGGCCTATTTTATATTTTAAATTATTTTACTTTTACTTGTTTGTATTCCTGGAAATATCTTCCACTTGTCATTTGCAGAGCAAAAGTAGTGTTTTAGCAAAAAGCTTACATTATGAGCCAATTCTGAACTCCTTTTATATTCACTGGAAAGCTTAGTTTTCTGGTGATGGGCTGAAAAAGCAAAACACAGTGCTCGTTTCTCATCCCCTGGCTGGGTCCTACTGGGCCCTGCGCTGGGAGGTATGGGACTCAACAGAGACACGGAACATCGTCTTAATTCTTACCTGCTTGAGATGGGCCTTTGTCTTCCTTTATTCCTCAACTCCCAACATCATGACTTCTAATTTGATAATGTCCACATCTTGGGCCTTCTGCACGGAGCAGGCGTGGAGAGTGGCATTTCCTGGTCTACCAGGCCAAGTGACACAAGCGCCTGGTGTTGCTAAGTCTCAGCCCCTTTGCAACTGCGTGAACCAAGGTCACTCTGCCCTCTCAGCTCCCCATTTTCCTCCTTAAAGTCTCAAAGTTGCAGTAAAGGCCCTCGTGGTAGGTGCTTACTGGATAGAAACTCTTAAGTTTTTTAATGAAACTATTCCTCTTTTTCTTCCAATTGTTGCAGATGTTTTTATGAAGACTATATTTTTAAAAAGTGTTAGAACATTCAGGACAGATACTAATGCCGCCACCACCGTCACAGTGTGAAAGCTTCCCTTTCTCTTGTGCTTGGTAGTTACAGAGAAGACTCTTTATTTCAGAACAGGCCCTGGTAGGAGGGATGCTCTTCATCTTTTCCTCAGGGAACCGGTCTAAGTCTAGCAGTTTGAGACCAAGGCAGTAGCTCTTCAGTACCCTCTTGGCTGGGTCATCAGGAGGCAGTGTGAGCCCCTCTCTTTGCAGGCAGGGTTTGTCTCTCCTGGATGGAGAGGCATTTTGCTGTATAAAGGGTAATTTCCCCTCACACAGTCCAAGAACAACCGTTAACGTTGGAACGGTAAACAAGGAGACCCAGAGGTACACTGGAATTCATCTTGATGTGGTCCACCAGTGGTTTGTCTCCATGCCCTCCTCTGCCCAGTGTGGTGCCTGTTGAGTGTCTGGGTTGAGGCCCCTTTTTTGGAGCCCTGTGCTGGCTGCTTCCCCTCCAGTATTTTCTCAGAACCTCCTAGTAGTCCTGAGTTAGGAATTGTTATGTACATTTCACAGATGCAGAAAATGAAGTCCACAGAAGCCAGGGGCCTTGCCCAATACAGCAGAACTGGAAACTCAATGCAGACCTGTCTGTCTGACTCTGGAGCTGTGTCCCTCAGTCAGCCCGCTCCACTCCGCATCAGAGAGAGAGAGGGGTGGGAGTGTTCTTGTATGTGGACTGGCTCTCTGCTCCCTGGCTCTGGTTGGTGGTGAGCCTCTTTCCATGACTAAAGGCTGCTTCCTGAGCAGACTTGACTGACTGGCTTCTAGGAACTCTGCCTTTTTCCTGCTCTCTGGAAATGCCTGCTGGCCACACTGAATTCTGACAGACACTTCTTCCGTGGGCCGGGAATCCTTGTGCTGGTGGAGTTGCCTCTGCCTGAGGGATATTCAGGAGACATCATACACACCTGCCAGGTGCCTGGTCTCTCACTATTACTACACACTCCCAATCTTAAGGCTAAGGGCTGAGAAGTGGAGGGATTTCCAGGGAGGGGCAGGGGTAGGGTTTTGTTGGCTCTGTCACCAGCTCTGAAGCCAACATGCCTCTCATCCCCTCGTCTCCCCAACAAAACACTTACCTGGTTTCCAGTAGCTCCTCCGCTTGGGTCGGAAGAGGCCTGGCCCTAGTCCTCCCTCAGACCGGACCTTGGGCAGTCACCGCACTTCCCTCGGTCTGTGTTACCTGGCTGTGCAGTGGGGCTGATTGCCCTGCAGGGAGCATGTGTGAGGATCACGAGTCTTGGGGAACAGATCCTGGGGGCCTGCTGAGGTAAAGTGACTCCAGCCTGACCCCTAGCAGCCGTGGACAATGAAAGCAGCTTGCTGCCCTGTGAACCTGTGCCTTGCTGTGAAAGCACCAGAACCACAATGCTAGAAGAGTGGCCTGTGTTTTGTTTCCTTCCTTTCCTTCTTTTCAATCAAGTCACTGTGCAGTGTCTTGGCGCGGGCACCTCACTGAAGCACCGCCGCCCTTTCACTCCTCCTCCTCTCTGCACTGTTGTCCAGGCCATCCGTGTGTTCTTCATGCTGCGATCCCTGTCGCTGCAGCTGCAAGGGGAGCCCGAGACCCAGCTGCCATTGACTCGAGAGGAGGACCTGATCAAAACCGATGACGTCCTGGACCTGAGTGAGTTGGCCCCCCTGAGTCACGCCAGGGGCCGGGGCACTTGGGACACACCACTTGGAGAGCGGGTGCGTGACCTGCATCATACACTGCCATCGGCACATGGCTGTGGGCAGTGTGTACGTTCTGTGGGAGTTCTGTAGGGAAGAGTCCCGGCTGTTACGCCATGGACCAGCCTGTGGATTCTACCTTCTGGGACCCGGGCTTTGCGGGGATGTGCCTGCAGAGCGATCAGAAGCTGTGCAGGAACGAGCACAGCTCCAGGGTCCCTGCCTTCCATATGACCACATCAGCACTGCTGTGATGCTATTGTGTGTTAAGAGTTTTCTAAGGATTTTTGTGCTAAAGAAAGAAAGTTTTCAAAAAGTAAATCACGGGTGTCTAGATAAGCTGAGTACTTCAGCAGCCAGGGAACTGTGCGCTCCCCCTGTAACCTTGGGCTACTCGTTTCCCTGGACAGGGCCTCAGTGTTCACATCTGCAATCTGAGGCGAGTGTTGAAGGAGACAGTGAGTGGGGTGGGGTTTGGGCCACTGCTGGCGCACTCGCCTAGCATGCATGAAGCTCAGCGTTCAATCCCCAGCACTGCAAAAAGACAAGGAGACATGCTTATGAAGCCTGCTCATGTTCCCAGAACCCTTCTTATATTTTCACAGCCTTCTCTTTCTTGCATTTGTCACGAGTATTTGCACACTGAAGGGCATCATGGTTTTCTGTCTTTAAAAGTATTGCGGTAAATTAGGAGTCTTTGGTTCTAAGAGACAGAAACTCCACTTGGGCTACATATGGAAAAAATGGGCAACTGGCTGATGTCACTGGGAAGTGCAGGAGTGGTTCTGCCTTCAGGCATGGCTGGATTCAAGCAGTATCATCAGGAAGCTTTTCCATTTCTCGGCTGGTTTTCTGGCCCAGCTTCATCTTCAGGAGGGCTCACACCAGGTAATGGGAAGAAGGCCACAGACAGCCCGAGAATTTGCCAGACCAGTGAAACAGCCCTGGTGGAGGACAGCTGCTCTTTCTATAGAAGTTATGAAGAGGTCTGGGGTACAGCCCTCCTTAGCCTGGCTTGGACTGTAGGACAGCCTTGAGCCTAGCAGGGGTCAGAGAAAGGTAAGGCCAATTCCTTCTGAACCTGATCAGCTGACAGTGAGAAAGGAAAAGGCCTCGAAGGATAATCTCAGAGAGGAGGTGGAAGCCAGGCAGGCAAAGACAGCAGATAGCCACTCTGAAGTGTTGCTGTTGTTGCAGTTTAAAATCAGCTCTGTTGGGCTGGGGATTTAGCTCAGTGGTTCCACCACCTTCATCGCAAGCGCAAGGAGCTGAGTTTGATCCCCAGTACAAAAAAAAAAAAAAAAAAAAAACCAAAAAAAAAAAAAAAAAAA